TGAGCACCGTAGTGGGGCAATTTGTCTTAAAAAAGAGTTATACGCATCTCGAATTTCTTTTTATACTCCTTATTTTATTTTAGTTTTGTGTGGTCGTTTTAGTCATATATTTTGTGTCCTTACATTGTGTTCTAATTATGCTCCTAGGGTTGAAATTTTGTTTATTTACAACATATATAATAGTTATATTGCTAAAATAAATACCCAAAACAACATATTCCCCATCCGAGATCCACCACCATACTGCACCAGCACTACCACCACATTAAAACTACCATTGTATACACCGTCGTACACCACCACCACAAATCGCACAAACCATCACCTCTACAACCAGTACTCCAGCCCAAATCCATCACACTACCATCACCACACTGTACAAGTATCATCAACAATCACACCACCACTCACAAATCGCACCAACCATTGCCAAAGTTGCCTACATCCCACCTAGATCTATTGCAAAACCATCACCACATTGTCCCAGTACCGTTATTGCACACACTATTGCACTACCACCGCACATAAAACCACAACCTACTACACAAATTCACACATACCTTCCATTATTCGACCCTTCTTTGACTTTACCTTTCTTGTTTTTCTTGTTGTTATCAACACTGGTAGTGGTGGCACTAGTGATTGCGTAAATTGTACTAGTGGGGACGCATTCTCCTCATGATCGCCAACGCCATCATCACCGCCACCACTACTCTTCCTTCATCCCTGATACTACAAAAAATCGTACCTGCTGATTTCCTGAGCTTGATGATAGTGATTGAGCACGATCGTAGTCTTTCGGTACCTGAAACAAAGGCAACGAGGTATGTTCTCATCGCATCTCCGATACTTAAGTTAGAAAGAAAATTATATGCGTGAGGCTATAAATTGGAGAATAGTGAAAACTTACCTGAATAATGGCTCAAGGTTCTGTATTTATAGTAACAAGCGACATTTTCCTAGTGGGACTCAACTAGCTGGATATCCTTATCTGTTGGAGTCCTGTACGGTTAAGGAGTTGGACAAATACAAAAATTATGCTTAAGATATAGTATTTATCAGGGCAAAGTATCAAAACAGTAGTCCATAGTTAGAGTTCAATGTAGATAGGAATCCTATTAGATCAATACATACCAAGAATCTCGAAGAGATGATCCCCGAGGACTCAATATCCTGAGGACGTCAGGCGTACAACACTGCCGTCACATGATTGCCATCCTCGAGCACGTGTCATCGAGGACAATGCTCGAGGACATCAAGCTGCAATATGGTGAGGGAGTTATTACCAATCATCGAGGATAGTGCTCGGGTATAGACGAATAATAAGGTGTATCACAGGCCCCCGTGCATCCGCCTCTGGGATCGAGCTCAAAACAGATTCTCAGGGTACGAGATGCAGAGAGCTCGAGGATATATGAGACCTATCGTCCTATATTACAAGAAGAGGAGACGTCGAGTTTAGATGCACGAGAATGGGCCATCTCAGTAAAAAAATGGGGTATTTGGATGGGTGACATGTGGCTAGGGTCAATGACTGGGATTGATGTGACCCTTGGTCTTCCTCCCAAGTTCTATAAATATCCCTTGATCCTATTCATTTTTTTACTTTTTACTCTATGTGAAACCTTCAGAGCGAGATCGGGGTTGAGCTAAAAACTTTGCTTTTTGTTATTTAGGCGTCGGGTAACTGAGGTAAGGCTCTGGACTCGTAAGTTTTTTCTTTAGTTTTTAATTAAAAGGAGATGTCGAGTACTGAGAGTGATCGAGGATCTGAGAGCTCGAGGGATACTAGGGATAATAGGATGCAGATAATACCTATGGCAGTCCCTTTAGATGCTCATCCTAGGGCGGTAGAAGCTCTCAAGCTTACATATCCCGACGTTCAGTGTAGGTTTACAGAATTTTTAGCACTGCAGGTGGCGAGAGAGTTTGGGGTCATGCCCTACAATGACTATAGGTCCCCCGACCCCGAGGATAAGATGAATAAGGCTCGAAGTGGTGAGTTTATGATTTTTAGGTATTCTTTAAAGGCTGGGTTCAAGTGGCCTATGCACCCATTTTTTGTAGGCTTTCTAGTCGAGCATTCTATGTGCCCAGGATAGTTAGTGCCCAATGGGTGGAGAATGCTCATTTATTTCTTCATCGCCTATAAGTATCTAGGCATCACTCCTTACCTCGACCTATGTAGGATGGTCTTCGAGTTAAAACAGCTCCCTAGGTTTACATGCTTTGCTTACCTTTTGTCTCGAGGTGTATTTAGGATCCCGAGGATGCATAGTTCATTAAAGGGGTCGAAGGATAAGTGGTTCTATGTTATAGCTCGAGATTCCGATCTCCCTTTCTGGCCTTTGTGGGACATCCCGGACGCAGCAAAATTTTGTGAGGGATAGGCCTACTTCGAGACCCTAGAGAGGGATCGATAGATGTTAGAAGATCTTAAGCCCTTGGTGTATGATTTATATGATATTCTCGGGGATGACATCCTCGACCTTGCCTGTGCGAAAGGCCTCGAGGGTAGGATGTTTATTCTTCAGTCCATTTGTTTCTTATTTCTCGATCATGTGTTCGTGTTTAATACTTGGATTTTGTGCAGATATGTCTTTTGATCCATCAGCTCTTCATCGAGCTGTGAATTCCAAATTCAAGGAGCCCCAGGTCAGGGCTCCTAGTCAAAAAAAGGAGAAGAAAAGGCCCCGAGTGTATACAACAGAAGTGCCTCCTCAGGGTCCTGGCGAATCGTCGACATCAAGGCCTCGACCTCCAAGCCCCATTCCACAATGACGACAGGGGAGACTCACCCTAACAGTCACCTAGGCCACCGAGGCCACTTCCTCCTCGGGTTACTCCTGAGGTTGTTGATCTTGAGGATGACTCCATTCATCCGGTGGCTTCGATCATCGAGGATTTTGAGCGATGCCATCTTGTCCCGAGCATCGTGGCAAAATATCGAGGTGACGTTAGGTTCGACGAGAGGATGAAGGCTCTTGAGCTCCTTACTTTGAAGGTAAGAGTTTATTTCCTTATGTGAATTTTCCATGTATTTTTCCTTTTCTTATGCTCTGTCTATTATGATGCTAGACACTCAGCGTTGCTCTAGGACTGTAACTTTAAGGGAAGGATGACTCCCACAAGATGGCTGGACTAGTCGAGGCTGTTGAGCTTCAAGATAAAAAGCTATTTGATGCTGAGTCTGCCCGAGCTCAAGTTTTGAAGGAGAGGGATGATGCTAGGCTCGAGCTGAGGAAGGCTCAGGATGAGATTGGTATTGCTAAGGATGAGGTCGAAGAGCTGAGGCTAGAGCTTGAGCAGCTGAAGAGGGATATTGAGGCTAAGATTGAAGGGGCCCGAGTATCCGCTATCGAGGACTTTAAAAAGTCCGAGGAAATGGATAAGTTGAAGGGCGAGTACGCTTTAGGCTCGTACGTTCATAGTTTGAATAAAGCTCGAGCTTTTCTGAGGGCTAAGATGCCCGAGGTTGATCTTGAGGAGCTCAAGACAATCCCTTAGGTTGCTGAGAGTTTCGAGCTTTCGGACTTCGAGGAGAATGTGGAAGGTACAGTCGAGGACGATGATGATGCCATCGAGGATGAAGGCCTTGCTCCCGAAGACGAGGATCAGGATTAGGCAATCCCGACCCCTGAACCCCCAATGTTTTTTTTTTGATGTAAATGTAATGGCAATTGGCCAAACATGACTTCGACTCTTTTTGTTTAGTTTTGGAAATGAATGCTCAATTTTTTGTCACGTCACTATTTCTGTCATGATCGACCAACATAATTATCTCGAGGATCGAACTTCACTAAATTTGTAATGATGCATTGAGCTCGAGCGTACACATGTTATCTCGAGGACTCAATAAAATAATTTTGGTAGCATACACAAGTATGTCTTAAGGACTCGATTTTATGAAATCATTTTGGTAATAATGTATTGAGCTCAAGCATAAACATTTATAACTCGAGGAGTGGATTTTAAAAAATCATTTTGGTAATAATGTACTGAGCTCGAGCATAACATTTATAACTCGAGGACTTGATTTTTTAAAAATCGTTTTGGTAATAATGTATTGAGCTCGAGCATGAACATTTAAAACTCGAGGACTTGATTTTAAAAAAAATCATTTTGGTAATAATGTATTGAGCTCAAGCATAACATTTATAACTCGAGGACTTGATTTTAAAAAATTGTTTTGGTAATAATGTACTGAGCTTGAGCATGAACTTTTATAACTCGAGGACTTGATTTTAAAAAATCGTTTTGGTAATAATGTACGAAGCTCGAGCATAACATTTATAACTCGAGGACTTGATTTTAAAAAATTGTTTTGGAAATAATGTACTAAGCTCGAGCATGAACATTTATCCAAAAATGCTCGGGAGAAGACTTTGAAGGTGTTTGTGCGGGGCAAAGATTTTGAGGTGCTTGCACGGGGCAAGGCTTTTGAAGTGTTTGCTCGGAACAAATCTTTTGAGGTGCTTGCGCGGGGCAAGGCTTTTGAAGTGCTTAAGGTGCTTGCTCGAGCAAGGCTTTTGAGGTGCCTGCTCGGGGTAAGGCTTTTAGTAGCGAGATCATATTTTGATGAATAGCTTACTTCTTATTATACTTTAAAAATATACTTGGCACGCAGGCCTAATGACTAAAAACGTGAAACTTGGAACGCAGGCCTGACTACCGAAAAATAAAACTTGGCACACAAGCCTGAGAACTGAAAACGTGAACCTTGGCACGTAGGCCTGACTATCGAGAACTGGAAGAACAAGTTACTTGTAATATATTTTTAAATTCTCGACGTTCCATGGTCTTAGAAGTGATCTTCCTGATGTATCCCTTAAACTGCATGCACCTCCTTGAAGCTGTCGTATAATTTCGAAGGGCCTTTCCCAAACTGGTCCTAGCTTGCTCGGGAAATGATCTGCTGCTTCGGCTCTTCTTAACACAAGGTCTCCGGCTCTGAATCTCCACATCCTCACTTTTTTATTGAAATACTTTGCTGTTTTATCTTAGTAAGAGGTCATTCTTAAAGCTGCCTGATCACAAACTTCTTCCAAAAGGTCGAGGTGTTCAGTGGTGCGCCCTACATCTTCAGGCTCAAGCCTTCTTTGGCTGGGCAACCTGACTTCAACAGGGATGGTGGCCTCAATACCGAAGGCCAGCATGAAAGGGGTTTCCTTCGTAGCGGTTCTGTGGGATGTTCTATATGTCCAAAGTTTGGAAGGTAGCTCATCAGACCAGTAACCTCTTGCATACCCGATTCTTGTACGGAGGTCTTGCAATATAATCTGATTGGTCACTTCGACAAGACCATTACTTTGAGGATGGGAAATCGATGTCAAACGGTGATCAAACCCTAGGTTAGAACAGAAGTTTTTAAATTGTGCATTGTCAAATTGCCTGCCATTATCAGTTATGAGGACTTTTGGTATCCAGAACCTGCATATGATGGATCTCCAAATGAAACTTCTTAACCTAGGCTTTGAAATTGTTGTTAAAGGCTCGGCCTCCACCCACTTAGTGAAATACTCTACAGCCACAGCCACAAACTTCAATTGCCCCCTAGTTATTGGAAAGGATCAAGGATGTCAATTTCCCACTGCTCAAACGGGGCCGTGCAACTAATGCTAGCGAGGTCCTCTGCGGAAGAGTAGATGACATTGCCAAATCTCTGACACTTGTCACACTTCTTGACATATTTCTGGGCATCTTTCTTCATTGTAGGCCAATGAGCTTGAAGGCTAATGCCCGAGCTCATTGATGGTTCCCACATATTCCTTCATGAACTTCTTCTAGGGCCTGGGATGATTCGGAAGGCCTAAGGCATCTGAGGTATGGAAGTGTGAGGTTCCTACGAAATAAAACTCCTTCAATCATGCAATACCTTGGAGCTTTGGACCGGATGCTTCTTGCTGCTCGAGGATCTTCTGGAAGATTGCCATGTTTTATGAAGTCCACTATTGGATCCATCCACGATGACTCATTATCGATACTCATGATGCCTATGGTCTGATTGATGCTTGGCTCGGTTACAATTCTAACGTAGACTGTCCTGTCAAGCCCATCTATCCCCATGAACACCAATCTTGACAAGGCATCGACTTTACAATTCTCAGTCCGAGTAATTTTCACAATTTCACAACTTTTGAACTTTCTCTGGAGATCATGCACTTTCAAGCAGTATAAGCTCATCTTCTTGTCCTTCCTATTGAACGTTCCTTCAATTTGTCCAACCTCCAACTGGGAATCACTGTAAATTTTGATATTTTCAAGCTCGAGATTGATGGCAAGTTCCATGGCTATGATGACGGGCTCATACCCTGCTTCATTATTGGTTGCCTCAAATTCGAATATGAGTGCACACTAAATGTCTATGAGCATGTCCGGGCATATGATTATGACCTCTGCACCCAAGCCTGAGAAGTTCGATGCTCTATCTACGAAAATTTGCCACACGCCTGTGGAAGAGCTCGAGCTACCATCTGGCCCCCGAGGCCTTGGGGTGAGTTCTGCAATAAAGTCAGTTAAGGCCTGAGCTTTGATAGATGGGGCTTAAACTCTATGTCAAATTTCCCAAGCTCAATTGCCCACTTTAGTAATCTTCCTGAGACGTCTGGTTTCTGAAGAATGTGTTACAGAGGCTGATTGGTGAGCACTACAATAGGATGTGACTGAAAATATTATCGAAGCTTTCGTGCTGCCACTATCAGTGCAAGGGCAAGCTGTTCTGCCAAAGTGTATCTTATTTCTGCATCAAGTAGGACTTTGCTTACGTAATAAATGGGTTGTTGGGCCCTGTTAACCTCTTTCACCAAGACATCGCTCATTGCATTCTGAGACACGGCTAAGTACAAATACAAAATATCCCCGAGCTCAGGTTTTGTGAGGATAGGAGGAGATTCCAATGTCTGCTTGAGCTCCTGAAAAGCTTTCTTGCACTTCTCATTCCATTTAAAGCAATGATTACCTCTGAGGGCTTTGAAGAAGGGGAAGTACCTGTCTGCTGCTCGGGACATGAACCTATTTAGGGCAGCCACCCCACTTGTCAACTTTTTGAACTTCTTTCTTGGTCTTTGGTGATTCCATTGCTGCTAAAGCCTGAATCTTATCGGGGTTAGTCTCAATCCCCCGATGAGTGATCATGAAACCCAAAAACTTTCCCGAAGCAACGTCGAATACACACTTCTCAGGGTTGAGCATCATCTTATACTTTCGTAGGGTGGCGAACACTTCTTCGAGATCAAATACATGTCTTTCTAGCTTCTTGCTCTTTACCACCATGTTGTCAACGTAGGTCTCAATATTCTTCCCTATCAAATTAGCAAAGATTTTGTTGATTAGTCTCTGATATGTTTCCCAGCATTCTTCAACCCAAACGGCATCACCCTATAGCAATATATGGCTGAATCAGCCATGAATGAGGTCTTCTTTTGGTCTTCTTTGGCCATGAAGATTTGATGATATCCTGAGAATGCATCTAAAAAGATGTATAGCTTATGCCCGGACGTGCTATCCACAAGATTGTCAATCCTGGGTAACGGGTAGCTGTCTTTTGGGCATGCCTTATTGAGATCTGTGAAATCGATGCAGACTCTTCATTTGCCACTGGCCTTCTTTACAAGAACAACGTTAGCAAGCCAATCGGGCTATTGGACTTCCCTAATGAACCTCGCTCTCATCAATTTTTCGACCTCTTGCTGAATGACCATACGTCTTTCCGGCACAAACTGTCTCTTCCTTTCCTTAACAGGTTTGGCACCTGGACTGATATTGAGTCTATGGACAGCTATTTCTGGGTCCATCCCTGGCATATCCTCCACCTTCCATGCAAAAACATCAATGTTGCAGGACAGACAACTGATGACTTCCTCCCGCAGGGTGGCTTTGAGATCCCGACCAATAGTTACCGCTTTTCCGTGCTCGAGCTCGACCACTTCCAATTCCTCAACGGGGGCCAATCTACCCCTTAGCTCAAGCTCGAGCTTGAGGTCTAAAAGTTGCATGACGTCTGTACTCATTCCTCGGATGCTAGTGACATAGCATTGCCTGGCAGCTGTTTGGTCTTCTCGAACTAATCCGATGCCATGACCTGTGGGGAACTTCATAGCCAGGTGAAAAGTTGATACAATAGCCTGGATCTTATTCAGTAGGGGTCTTCCCAGAATGATGTTGTAGGCCATTATGGTATTAACCACTTGGAATGGTGTGATCTCCATCACTTGTGTGTTACCAGAACCTAATGTAAGCGGGAGCTCGACGATGCCCTCAGGGATAATGACTCCGCCACCAAATCCCTGTAGAGGAGTTTTTACTGTTTTGAGTTATTTGGGAGAGATCCCCATTTTGGCGAGAGCCTCCTGCGATAGTATATTTGCCGCACTCTCATTATCAACCAGGATCCTCGTTACTTCAAAGTTAGCCACAATCGCATAGATGACCAAGGCATCGTCATGAGGATATGATATTCCTTTCAAATCTCTCACTCCAAAAGTGATGTCTTTGACTTCATCACGGGATTCCCTTGGGGTATGAGCATGTTGGCAGGCATATTGCTTTCGCCTATTCTTATGTCTCCTCCGGATGCTATGCCCCCAACTATAATATTAATGGTCCCGACAATAGGTTGAGCACTGCTTCTGGCTCCAGGCTCTTTATGATTGTCACGGTCGTTCCTCGAGCATTTATCTTGACCAATGTAATTCTTTAAAAATCCTCTTTTGATAAGGACTTCAATTTCTCGTTGTAAAGCATGACAATCCTCTGTGGTATGCCCATGATCCCAGTGAAATTCACAATACTTTTCATATCTCTTGTGTCAGGGGGTGACTTTACCCTTGAAAGCCACTTTAATTCTTTCATATCCTTAACCTCCATCAAGATATTTGTCTTAGAGGTGTTCAACCGAGTGAGAGGTGCTGACGATGCCTCATTCCTGCGCTTATCCCAAGAAAGCTCATGTCGGGAGTCGGGATCATGTTACCTCTTGTTCTCGGCCTTTTCATGGGAAGGACCAGGTTTTCTTGGATTTAGTGTTTCCTCCATATTAATGTATTTTTCAGCTCTGGTGAGGAGCTCGGTCACTGTCTGCGGTGGGGTCTTTGATAAAGACATCTTGAAAGATTCACATCGTATAGTATAAGTGAGGGCGGAGACAACTGCTGTGATGTGAAGGTCGGGTATTTGAAACCTTTCTTTGTTAAACTTTATCATAAATCCTCGTAGGGTTTCAGTTGGTCCTTGGCGAAGTTGCATGAGAGAGGCCGCGGTCTTCCTGATTCGCTTGCTACTTGCAAAAAAGGCTGGGAACTTATCAGCCAAATCTGAGAATGAGGCTATGGAGTTGGGCTTCAATGTCGAGAATCAATCTCTAGCAGAATTAGTCACCATTTGTGGAAAGGCTTTGCACATAACCTGATCTGGCGCAACTTGCAAGTTCATGACATCAGTATATACATTGAAATGGTTGATGGGGTCAGTCGTCCCATTATATTCTTTAATGTGAGGATATTTGAATATGTCGGGCAAGGGATATGACAATATCTCTAGCGTGAATGGAGTGTTAGTGGTGAAACATGTTGGCCCCGAGCATTCCTTTGCAGGCCAGCTGTAATTCCTTCTTGAATGATCCGAGCAATTTCACCGGAGTCCATGGTGACAGATCTCGAGCGCGAGACCATATTGTGAATACCCGAGGTTCATACTCCTCCAGTTGCGGGGTTCGGTGGTCGTGCTCAAGCATCAGCCATAAAACCGCCATGCTCTGCATGCGCTGGCGACGGATGTAAATTTCGTTGACTTAACAGTTGCGTGAGCGTGGCCACCTGCTGACGGAGCTCTTCAAAGGCTTCGGTTGTGATGACCACTGACATAGGTATGGGCACTCCTGACGATTCTTCATGAGGAGCCGGTTGATCTTCGACAGGATGAGGAATGGGAGCGGATGAGCTTGTGGGTGGAAGACCTGATCGTGTGTTAACCATGGCTTTTGGTAGCATTTTCCACAGACGGCGCCAATGATGCTACCAAAAATCGTACCTGTTGATTTCCCGAGCTTGATGATAGTGATTGAGCACGATCGTAGTCTTCTGATACCTGAAACAAAGGCAACGAGGTATGTTCTCGTCGCCTCTCCGATGCTTAAGTTAGAAAGGGAATTATATGTTTGAAGCTATAAATTGGAGAATAATGAAAACGTACCTGAATAATGGCACAAGGTTCTGTATTTATAGTAGTAAGCGACATTCTCTTAGTGACTCAACTAGCTGGATATCCTTATCTGTTGGAGTCCTGTACGGTTAAGGAATTGGACAAATACAAAAATTATGCGTAAGATAGAGTCCTTATCAGGGCCAAGTATCGAAACAGTAGTCCATAGTTAGAGTTCAATGTAGATAGGAATCCTATTAGATCAACACAAACCAAGAATCTCGAGGAGATGATCCCCGAGGACGTCAGGCGTACAACACCGCCGTCACATGATTGCCATCCTCGAGCATGTGTCATCGAGGACAATGCTCGAGGACATCAAGCTGCAATATGGTGAGAGAGTTATTACCAATCATCGAGGATAGTGCTCTGGTATAGATGAATAATAAGGTGTATCAATCCCCTCTCCGTAAGTGACCAAGGATAAAACTGAGATGATGGACAAAGATGAAATTGAGATGATGAAGAAATTGAGGATTTCTATGAGCTTCGATACAACAAAGGACAAAGCCAATACAAAGAAACGACTTGAGGTTGTAAGAAAGGTAAAGC